AAGGAGATAGATGGGGGAAGAGTCAGAGGGGAGATCGAGGTGTAAGGAGAGAAGGTTCAGCGAAAGGTGCTCAAGGGAAGCCATGTTGATCCTTCGGAACCCGATAGTCGGCCAATCAGATTCGTCGCGCAATAGGGAGATCCTCTTACTCAACGCGTCTGATTGGTGAGCCGGGGTAATCGGAGGATCAACCGGGCTTCGCGAGCCAAGGTTGATGAGCGAGAAGAGACGAGGCGCGAAAAGCAGCGCGAGACGGGTCCAAGATTCAGATGATCAAGAAGGGGAAACAGGCGCGCAAAAAGCAGAGAGGGAGAGAGGGAAAAACAGTTGCGATGGGAGAAGACGAGGAGGGGGAAGGGAGAGAGGAGAGAGTGCGGGGGAAGGATGACGCGGGAAATAAGGAGGAGGAAGCTCGCATGCGCAGTGCCGACATCAAGAGAAAAAAGGCACCAAAACAGTTACAGCTTCCTATGCCCTAAACCAATTCAAAAATTGAAATCACCATATCCGCGCGTGAAAGTCGACGCGGGAAAAAAAATTCCTATGCCTATCCGTATTCTCACAAAATTCCTAAAGTTTTCTCCGACGTGACCGAGAACATTCATGCAAGGAAAAAGATACGTCGGGCTCCGCTTATTCCGTAATTCCAAACTGTCGAGCCCGATTCCCAGTGAGCTTCGCTGAGGCGCGCGTACTTTCCCGTGCATTTCCCGAATTACGAAAAGCAGAATTCCAAGAATCGATAGAACTTCCGAAAAAAATGGGGGCCCAAACAAGGCGCCTGAAATCAAGAAAAGCGACGAGGGTTTTATGGGGTCGGTATGGTACAAAAAAGGGGGTATTGAGTCAAGGGGTACGGAAGATAGCACGAGGTCGGGAAGTAGCTCGTCACACGCGAGTGGGTTGTGTGTGGTGTGTGGGACAGTGTTGGGCATAGCCACTGCTCCTACTTGATGAGGGGTGGGAAACGATGAAAAAGGGAGGCACAGCTACTGGCACGTCTCCGTCTTTGTATTTGCCAGACCCCCACTGGCGGCCCCAACCCTATACCCTACACATTAGGGGCAAGGGGCAACATGAAATCTCCCCTTCACAGTGAGAGGAAACTATGCTTGCAGGGGTCCCCTCTAGATAGCCTGAGGAGTAGGTAGTGAAAGGCAAAAACAGAAGTTGAGAGAAGAATATACAAAGGAGAAAAAAAAATAGAGCAGCCCAAAAAGCAACAT